CGGGCATTGCGTCAGTCAGCAGGCTGTGTTCTACGATCTCTTGCGAGCCCTGCGCCATTGTCTCTGCCATGTATCTGTGCTGGATGGCTCGCTTCCAGCAGACCTCTGGACGCTCGGCATTGGAAATTGCCAGACAATAGTATACGCAGAGCTCGTCATTGTCTGCTGGTTCGCAGGCTAGACGGAACAGCGTGTGCGGCTCGGCCGTGTTTGGCTCCAGGTGTATCTGGAACTTGTTCTGGGCAATCATAAATGGCGAGCTGTGCGCGGTGCTGGAAAGGCCAGCCCAGCTGTCGATCTCCCAGTGGAACACGCGGTGAGCCACTTGCTGCTGGTTGCCAAACAACGGTAGATAGTCTGCAAGCAGCTTTTCGTCTACAGAGTAAAAAAAAGCCTGTTAGCATCAGCCCTTCACGGAGTTTCTGTTTTATCCCCCGGGCCGCATGGCCGGGTGCTGGTGCTTACCTTCCTCCTGGGAAAACTCTTTGAACACCGGCTCGCTCGGTCCCAGAGTGGTCTCGGTCGCAAGTGTGCTCGGACTGCCCATCACATTTATCTTGGGGCCGACTGCGCTCAGCGATGCCCGGCCATCGGTAATGTTACTGTCATGCACGTCCTCCATTGGTGTATCGGTATTTGGTTAGCGAAAGGGTTAAGGGAGCAATATAAAAATAGGGTATGTTTTTAATAAAAGAAACCGAGAGGGAGAAAAGCAAACAGCAAAGCTGTGTTTACCTTTTTTAAACCCGTTCCTAGCGCTCCAAGTTTGGTACTTTCGAAGTCTTTGAGAAAGCTAATAAATGACGCTAGGCTGATTCTTCAAAAGAAAAAAAAACGAACGATCGTCCTCGCAGGTCTTTTATTTTGTCGGTCGAAAAGCCGTTCTCCGTCTCAGCTCACCTACATCGCTATAGCGGCGGCAATCAATTTGCAAAGCCCAAAACTGCCGCCTCCCCTTTCCTATGTGCCTGGTTACGCCTTCATGCATGTCCCAACATGTGAAGGTTGACATGGTTGATTGCATCGGGTGCTGGTAGCTGCTGTTTTAATACTAGAGGTATTTGGGCAAACGAAATACAAAACAATGGCCTACATGTTAATAGGATCAATATACTGTCTGAAGCGCTCGTCAATCTTTTCGTGCTGGTATAGCATAATCTCGCGTCCCTCTTCAGCAAACTCCTGGATGAGAATCCTACCAAACTCTGGCGGAACATTGATCTTGATCAGTGTGGGGATGTGCCTGACAAAGTACCTGAGGCGGTCCCTGTCGCCCTCGTTCAGCCAGTCGTGGACAGTCTGGATCTCGAACATCTGAAGGGCCGGGTGGATGACCCGGTCAGGGTCGTAGGGCGGGCACTCATGCTCATCGATCCTTGCCTGCCGATGCGGGACCTGATACTGCGGCGGGTCGTACTTGACGCGCAGGTACTCGAGCACTGGGAGGTACGAGATCAGGTTTTCTGCCTCCGACACGATAAACTTGTCAACGGTGACCACCAGCCGGCGCAGATGAACCCATGCCGTTGACTGTGGGAGTCTGATTTCGCGCAGCGTCATGCGGAGGCTAGCATGGGTGACAAGTGAGGGGGTGTCGAGCACAGGCATCAGCATCGACGTGGCATCGTCGACATTCTCAGTATAGTCGTACATTGGGTGGATACTGATGTGCTTGGCCATGTAGTAAATCTCGGGGTTGATCCAGTTCAGCTGGGCAACCTTCTCGGAGAGCTGCAGCGATTCGATCGGCGAGTGGAGGAACAGCTTGAACATGTCCGAGTACACTTGCAGGATGTTTAGTGTCCGGACGATCCGCAGCTTTGGGAACGTCAGCAGGTCGTGCCCGGAGAAAATCGAAATAGGGTTCGGGTGGTAATCGGTGCTAATATGGATTTCCTCCAGGTTTGTAAACCGGATCTCGCCAGGTACGTCGGACTTGAAGATGTCCCAGTTGAAATTTGTCCGCACATTCCTCATGTTCAGGTACCGGAGCCCGGCTGCGGGAATCTGCGGAAAGTCCATGCGGTTGTGGTAGCCGACCAAAATCTCAGCCTGAAGCGTCAGCTTGGTGACATTAGGCGGGAAGTAGAGCGGTATGCGGCGCGGTGAGTCCATCTCAATCCGGTAGTTGGTGATCTTGTTGTGGAACTGGTGCTGGATACGATCCATGACGTGGTCGAACATCTTGCCACGGTCAAAGAACCGGTTGTTGGCCACAATTGTGACGTTCGGGAACATCTTGACAAAGTAGCGTGTGGTCGGGATGATGAACAGATCCTCCATGCCGGCGCCGTAATGGCATGTGCCGCCGAACCACAGCTTGGTGACGTTCACGAACGGCGTGTCCGGCATCCCCAGCTTGCCGAACAAGTCTGGACAGTTGGTGAATATGCGTGAAAATTGCTCGCATTCAATGCGAAATTCTTTGACTTGGTCTTGCATGCCGGCGCGCATAATTTGGCCTAGATTCGAGTGCCATTCGTAGTGCCGGTTTGGGGTCTTTTCTGGTTCATCAATCTTGCGCGTAGTGCAGTAGATGAATGCACGTTCGTACATGAGCGGAGCAGTGATTTTGAACCAGGCACGGCACACCAAGGCGTAGCTGTACAGTTTCTGGTATGCATGGTATCGGTGTCCATTCTCTCGCTCTCGCAGGATAACCTTGGAGAGGACTTGCTCGGCGATGTATCCGCCAGCAAGAGCAGTAAAATCCACTGGAATGGTCATATCCATACAGTAGTATGTATAGCCTGAGGCGTGCGGGTTGCTACAGCCAGCGAGGCAGAATGTCAAAAAGGGAGGAACTGAAATCTAATAAACTGTACTGTTAAGGCAGACAAAGGGTTGTCAAAAATACTGAAGGTGATGACGATGACGAATGCAGCTGCAAAAAGGAAGGGCAAAGAGAAAGGAAAAGGCGGTGGCAAGAAAAACGCCTGGTTGAGCAAATAAATAAACTGACAACCATTGGCAAACTGGCTTCGTTCAGACTTTGCTCATGGCGGACTCAGTGCTGGGTGTGAGCTGCATATCGAGCTTCAAAAGAGGGTTTGCCATTTGCAGTGAAGGCGGCTCAGGGGGCGATGAACAAAAAGCACTGGGAAAAGTATGCACAACTCGTTTGTAGCTTGCAGTGGCAGGTACGTATCGACTGCGAACCACAGACCAGCATTCGCAAATGGTGATTAGATGCGCTTGGTAGCTCAAGAGGTTTTGTGATCATGAGGCAAATAGATCAGGCACCTGCGTGAGTGGCTTAGTGCAGATGGCTGATCTTGCTATGTGGGTTGAATTGATAAGGGCATCTCCTATAAATAATGCATGTGTAGCGCTACGCCAAGTCTAGTGGTGTGTAGCTCTACGTACAGTGGTCAGAACTCCAGACTGCCAAATTTTTATCACAGAAGTGGCCACTTCCTATATTATGTATTGAACATACGTAAATAAGGACTAGAGTGAAGTAAAGTGAACCAGCCTTACTTGCGCACCATGCGATGGCTAATATACGCTTTGCTTGGCATTCTACAACAAGGCTCAAAAAGTGGCGGCTTTCGGAGCCGAACGTGGTTCTCGGATTTCTGCAAAGCTACGCTAATGATGAGTAAGGTAGGCACGTAATCAACACCAGAAGGTGGAAAGGATTCACTATTCAGTATACATATGCTTTCCCTCATCCGCTCCTCATCAAAAAGTAGGTGCGGCGGATTCACTTCTCACATGCCAAAAATACCCCAGGTGGCTGGTGTAATTATTTGCGCATGCATGCTACATTGCTCCATTCCTACCTGACATGGCTAGATGCAATAAAGTGAGAATAGTCTCGCTCACAACTGAGCCAGAGTATTCAGCTGACAGGAGATTGCAGCAAACGTACAGCCCTTCTGTCGCCGTGTGAAACATTCGGACATCAAGGTACGGCCTGACAATGCAAGAGGGAGCTGCAAATCGGATACCTAAATCCACGTGGACAAGTGGCGCTTTATGAGGATGGTGCTATACACCGAGCCCAGGCTTGCAGCATACCGCAGCTGGAAGAGAAGCGAGCAGCTGGCATGGCGGACATTCCGTCCCTGTCTTGACATACGCTTCACGGGCAAAGCAAGTTTGGCGGTTTGCAAGCAAGCAAGCTTGTTGTGGAGTGGAACTGACAACTCCTCACACTCTCATTTTTTACAATTGGGTAACAAGGATGTGTTCTCACCGAGTCTTAAGAAATAAGAGTGCTACAATTGCGGTGCATGTCGCTGTATTTTTAGGATGGCAAGCGTTGCGACAGGTAGTAGAGTGGCGGATGGGTGGATGGACAGACAGGGTGCCCCGCATAGGCGTGAGCAATCCGATTCCCCTTGCAACATTGAGTCTGCCACCCTTGGAAATCATTCTTGAGCAAGGGGATTTTTAGGCGGAGTTGTGGTGATCATTAAATTAAATCGAATGCAAACCCAGTTCTATATAGGCGATGTCGGGTTCATTTTGGAGCTACACGTCATGGAGGTTCATTGCACTTACACGATTTTTAGCATACCCTCTGCAGATGTAGCGGCTGAAACAAGTGTAAGGAAAAAGACAATACTGTGCAAACGGCTGGGTGTACTGGCCAGCTGATTATGATGGCCGCCACCCATCTCCATTCCCCCCATGAAAGTCAGATGCATACTTCGGCCAACTAAACAGCATCCAGGCAATTGTGCGTGTTGTTTTTGAATTAAATGCCGGCCCTAATCAGTTTTCAACCAAGGAACATCCAGCAGGTGACGGCTATTCTGGTGACAACTCATTTGTTGGAGAGAGGGTGGGCAAGGGATTTTATGCAGGCTATGCTCACTTTTTGCAGGGAAGTGGGGTCACGACTGGCATGAAATAGATGATGTCCAGCACACAGCAGAGTGCTGACATTCGTATGGAAACCTAGGTGCACAACCCCCAATGATGCCTGTGCACTTTTTCTCTAGTCCTAGCCTACAAACACTAGTTTACTCTTAACATCCACCAACATATCCATGCGCCCTGAAACCCCAAATCTCGACTTCTTGCGCGATTTTTTGAGAAACTTTGACACGGATTTTGCAGTTATCCACCCTTTGGACCCCGACGACGTGAAGAAAAAGAAGCTAGAGGCTGCGTGCAAGAAATCCCACTATGAGACATCGACTGTGGCTGACTACCTGCCGTTTGCAAAGTTCTACCAAGATTACCCCGCCTTACACTCACATCTGCCTGAGTTCGTGAAGAAAGTCCCACTCATACTAGAGTGCCAGGTCAAGTGTTCGTGCACCGACACCACCTGCAAGAAAAGCCATGGTCGTGTATGGAAGAGCAACATCGAAGAGCTAGAGACATGTGGCCTGCTGTCCTCGGTGAGCGAACTTCGTATAGTCCTGTATAATGACTGCCCGAAAGATCTCCATCTTGACAAGGCTATCCAGGAGCTCGGTATTCCCAGGGGTGCGATTGCCAGCACAAAGCTTATTAGGTTCCTAGGCCGTGGCCTATTTTATGCTGGCAAGAGGCAGGAGTCCCAGGATGCAGAAATGGAGGCAATCCGCACTGCCCAGCTTATCCTCGAGCACTGCCCTCATGCCAGGGAACTATGGTACCATCCAGATCGAGTCTGGGGTCTAAGCAAGAATCCCCTTCAGGACTTGCCTGGTGTCGGGACAAAGATAATGATAATGCTTCGCCATGCGCTCCACCCACGCCTAACAATGATGCAGGTTACGCGGCCATTCCCATCTTATATTGACCAACCATTCTCGCCGAATCTCCAGTATCTTGTGCTAGACCTGAAGCTTGTCCCGGAGTTTGTGCACTTACCGCCTATCCCTACAGACAGCATGAGCCATCTTGAACTAAGCAGAATCTCGAACGGCATCAACTGGGGCCTGTTCAAGACTGGACCAGACAGAAGGGTGCATTTCCCAAACCTCCAGACGCTTGTGATGCGGTTTAAAGAGCCTGAGAAAGGTCTCCTGCAGTCCTCGCTGGACGTATCCAGAGTTGTGATACCGTCAACGGTTGGTGTCACTGTGACTGGGATAGCCCATAGCAGAAACGCCATCTGGGAATACTTCAAGAAGGGCTGCCGCCAGCTGTCACTCGTAGAGAGCACATTGGAATTTAGAGATATCGATGTCTACAATCTCCAGTGCTCCAAACACTTCCAGCTCAAGTTGATCCCGGAAGAGGGCGACTCCAGCAAGCCTCTCCCATTTGTAGGGCTGAGAAACTTCTTTGGCCACAGGAACACTGTCATCCGCAGGATGTCAGTGACTGGCATTGAGTTTATGCTGCCTCTGACTGTGAAGTTTCACAACATGGAGAACCTTCATCTGTCTCTGGGAATCGCAGACAGCAACATCATTCTCAACCTGGCTCACAGCCTGACAAGGCTGAAGATTTTGCGCATCCGTTGCTTCTCTATGTACTGCAACGATCTGAATCATCACGGACGCGGGGTTTACTTTGCCAACGAGGACCACGAGCTATGTATCATTGCTGCACATGCAAGGGATATCCCGATGATAGCCAGCAAGAATCTGCAGTGCCTGCACCTGTACTCGCACATGGCGATTGACCCAAACAGGTTCATCAAACTGATGGCTCGGTTCCCAAACTTGGCCGAGATACAAGTTAATGGTGAGATAGTTGAGTGTGTGGATTGGGCTTTTCGTCGGTATAACGTCATAACCAGTGCGATTGATCCAAGCACGGTGTAGCATAGTCTCTTCCTTTACTTCTTTCTCTCACCATCTTATATTAGCATGTACCAGTACAAATAACATCTGTAAATAAGCAAAAGCGGAGGCAAGTCTTGGCTGGAAGCAAACATAGAGCGCTGCAAAGTATCCTTTGCTAACAGGGTCATAGCTCTGCGACTTGTCATGTGCCACATGATCAGATACACTTCCTGGATCACCAGCATGCATCACGTAGCGCACAAGACCTTGCACCCTACCAGCAGCTCGGGGTTTGCTGAGCATGGCTAGATTGTGGCACACCAACACGCAAGGAAGGAGTCTCTTGAACAAAAGTGGTCACCAAGATGGGGTTGATTCTGAGTTGTTTACTTTATTGACTCAAGCAACTGAGCGCCTGTTTATAAAAGGAGGCACTTTCCCAAGCCCAGATTGAGCAGCAGCCTTGTATTAAGACATTTTCTTCAACCCTGAACTGAGCAGACAAGGGGGTTGTGCTGCTCATTTGCTTTTCCGAGGTGTGTGGAGAGTAGAGCATCGACTCATGTCGTCCGTGTTGGAGCAACTTTCTGGTTTGCTCTTTCTTGCATCCTGCATGCTTTTATTTCCATAGGCATTTTTAACCTGTTGCACCACTTTCCAACGGAATTTTGACATGCATTACAGATCATGGTACCCACCTAGAAGATACTATGAAAATGTATCTGATGATGCTTCTGGCAATGCTTTGCCAATTCGCCCATAGAATATGTCCAAGCACTGTACCCATAGCCACCAATACCATCTACCTGCTATCGGATTCGCATGCTACAGTCCTTAACTAGGCTACACTAGACATAACTGATATCCTAAGTACTTTCACTGGTAAAACTCTTTCAATACATTTGCTGTACCCCTCTTATGCTTGAAAACCCATGCAAATGGCACCTGTGAGTGTCCAGCAAGTAAGCCTGTTAGCAGAAATGCACACCAAAGAAGTGTAATTTAATGCCTCAATTGGACAGACAGGAATACAATGCGCCATTTGCCATTCACCTTGGGCAACGACAATGGCAATGGGGCACCAGAATGTCATAACTAACACGTTTGGTCAACTTGTTGTCCACTACTACAGAATTGGCTCTATACTTGCGTTTTTATGTTAATTTACTGTCTGCTACCTAGAGAAGAGCTGGTTTATTCAAATTCGTCGATAAACAATAAACTATCCGCAGCAAACAACATAACTTGACACAACTTCTGGGCTCTGTCAATATACAGTCTCAGCCAAAGGCAGTATATGCTTTATGCCAACCAAATGGTAGATGTATGGCTGTCTCCATTGAAAGTATTAAGATATTTATTACATGCTTGCTGCTTGGAATTCATGTAACATTGCAGAACAGCCTTTGAAAACTAGTGCATCCGGAACCGCTATTGTATAGAAAGAATCTTCCAGTTCCACTGCAAGTTCAATATCGGGTATAGAAATATTTTCACTTGCTACCAGGTGGAAGGGCAACAAAAATGATGAGGTAAAGGCTGAGGCAGACATGTGGACTCAGACGTGGCTCACCCGACATGCAGATACTATGGTTGACATAGAGAAGCTGTGGGGCATTGCTGTGAGAGTGCTTGCCAGAAACATTTACAAACATGCTCCTACTGATTTGAAACTTCTGTTCAACACAATCAATAAACATGCGGTAGCTGGCACCAGCAGAGTGCAGATAGCTTTTGATACACTCGCACAATACATAGCAAGAAGGATAAGCGCAGAGCGGTCATAGCCAGCACATTTGTAGATCTTGATCGTGGAGTGCCAAATCACTTTTGCGCTACTATTGACCAGACCAAGCAGCACATAAGCAGTCCTAGCAGGACCATCCTACAGCCTTTTCCTTTCCTCAGATGTTTTTCTTCTGTTCTTTGGATATACACACATGAACGCGTATCCCTTCCCTGAGTTTAAGGTTAACAAGAGGCCTTTGTTTAGCCTACAGATCTGGGTCTGACTGGACATCGTGCTCAACAATATATGGGGGCTTATTATCGTGCGTCTTGGTCCAATGCCAGGTCAGTATTGATGTTTCTGCTAGCGCGCAGCAATATGAAAATCCTTATGCGTGGTGTCAGTATCAAAGCAGCCTTTGTAGAGTGCCATGAATGAAAGTCATCACTCACAAAAGGTGTTAGAGCAGGATGACTCTGGACTCACAACTGTCCTGCTCGTCCGTATATAAGCGGGTGGGTCACTACAGCTACCACTGCAGGAAAGTACTTCAGAATTTATAAACTTCGCGGTCCATCATAGCACAGTACTTTAGCCTGGTAAGAGTAGCTGCGCTTTTATCACTTTCTTTACGAGAGGTACCCTATCACCATTTTGTGATTTTTATCGAGGCTACGTTTGGAATCAGAGCTTCAACAGGAAACCAGCGCTTTAGTCTAGCTACATGGTGCCTGAAGTATAAAAAGTGTAGTTGGCGAACCATCCATCAGCTTGCACTTCATTTCCATGACTAAACTTCCTCATCTCCGTAGTTTCCATGTGGACAAATTTTATTCGTTGTTTCAAGGAATGCCTCTACAATACTCGGACCAGAGCAAAAATGGGACTAGCAACAAGCGTGACAGATTGCTTAGCGTTGTAAGGGCTGGGTACATTCTGCTGCTTAATAGCAGGCAGCGACTAGAGTCGTGCAAGGGAGAATACGAGGCTGCGCTGAATACACTGGCGGCCACAGCAAAGGAGGGTGACAAGATCAGGCTGAAAACTGCCAGAAGAATGTCGGCGATACGTTGGACCGAGTTGCTGCTGCTGTGGATGATGTGAAGGCTGTCGCGAGCCAGTACCAACAGGATCTCGACATCCTTCGAAAGTTTGATAAGGAGACACCTTCATTGGATGGAACTTATGCCGCCAGCACACCTCCACCGCAGGCATGCCGTCCACAAACCTCAAGCGAGTGGACAGAGCCACGGGCTTTGCCAAACGAAATCGATGAATACTTTACGAGGGCCATGAGCTTCATCGATGAGTTTATGCGTTTTGAGAGACGGTATGGTAGTGGCCCATTCGTCCTGGGTACAGGGGAGTCTGCTGGGTAGAGTGCAAGAAGAAGTACTTCATGGATAACCTCGCTGAGAGATTCAAAACCGTCATGAAGCTCGCACTTGGCGCTTTGCGGGTGGAGATCAAACGAGATCGGGCCGCGGTTCGACTTGGGCATCCATGTTTACATCTTTGACAAGGACCCTGCCGTGCCGCGAGTGACCTTACCGATCTTTTTCGGAGAAGAGCCGCTAAGGGCATATGACTTTTTGCTCAGGTGTGCAGGATATAGGCATTGTCTATCATTGGTTTACAAATATCATATTCATAACCTGAAAATAGTGCATCGGAAATGCGGCATCTAAGTGGGACACGTAGTAGGGTGGCTACGTAGTGATATATCTACATCATGAACACAGTCAACTGTCAGCAGAAAACAATATATACAGTTAAAACCTTGGCTCCAAAGACGCATCCACAGGGTAGCTGAAAGCCTGAATGTCCCCCATATGCAACACAAGTGTCTCACCAATGTTGTTGCGGTACTTTCTGAAAATCTTCCTCCTCGCCTCGCTCAAAAACACGTCCATGATGTCGTCTGACTTGCTGGTGACATGGACTGTAGCCTGATTTAAGGTACCTGTCACCGCAGCAATCATGGCCACGTAGCTAAACAGCAGGCGCTTCTGCTTGAAATGGTTGTTTGTGAGCGTCAGGCGCTTGAGCGGCGCACAGCAGTCTCTGCACATATCGGCCATTTCTCTTGTCTGCTTGGCCGTGACCATTTTCGTAATTGATGAGACCGGCAAGGCAAAGCGAACAGTCAGCTCGTGCAATGATGCAGACCACTGATAAGAGTAAACACGCTTCCAATGCTTAGTGCAACCTCGGGATGTATATGGACTGAAGTTTAGGGGCGTTCAGGAAGGCAGAGATGCAGTGGTTTGTTCATGCACACCAACAATGTGATCGGAGCAAAGGCGGAAGGACCGCTGATTTCGGATACCGGAACAGGTTCTCCACTATCGACGGATACATAACTTGCTGTCGGCCTGCATTGTGGCCATGTACTGCCTGATGGTGATGTTTTCGAGTGCCGGGCATTGGTGGTACCGCCATGATGCCACCGGCAGGGTTACGGAACAGGTTGGTTGGGCGCGGATATTCGATCACCAGGTCCCTCAGGCCCTTCGAGGCAGCGCCGACCAGGTACCCGGGGATGGGCCAGCCCGACGACATCACCTTCATGTAGGCAGCATTAGGGAAGTGCTCGGCAAAGGCGAGTTCGTCAGGAAACTCGTTGCCTTTGAGTGAAATGAAGCTGACGACCAGGCGACGCAACAGCAGATAATCGACACGCTCGCCGTTGCTGAGGTGCACGACACGCAAAAGATCGGCTGGATACAGGCCGCTGAGGCTGAGGTCGGTCAGTGAATCGGCGACCGATGCATAGCGTAAAAGTAATGGTCGGTCAGCGGATGCGCGTGCGCATGCAGCTTCGTCAGGCCGGTCAGGGCGGCAGGGAACACCACCCAGGGCTTCAGTTTGCGCGAAATATGCATCAGCGAGTGGCCACGTCCCCAGCAGCTGAAGATGGACCGGACCAGCAGCATCTTGGCGCTGTCCTCCAGGTACTCGTCCGAGTCATCGATCTGCAAATGCAGCCTGGCGTTTGGAAAGCACGATCGCATGATAGCGAATAGCGCGGAGACTTTGTCGTCGACTCATCCTGGACGCTTGGGTGGAGAACGCTGTCCCAGTCAAACGACATGACAACGTACTTGACAGCCGGGCAGACAATGCACGGCAGCGCCGGGCGCTGCTCAGTCTCCCTGACTGCAGGCCAAAATCTCCGCCTGCCAGGACCTCGCCAAGGCGTGGGAACAGCGATATCATCGGATACATAACCTTGATAATCTCCAGCATGGCCTTCTGGATCTCGGTTACGTGGGGCATGAGGCGTAGACTGAAGACATGCATTTTGTGGTGGTGATGCAGGTCCATGGTGCGTTTGAGTGGGTGTGTGCCAAGAATGTGCGGGTCGGCGGTGAGCGGATAGCTGGTGGTGATAAAGCGGAAGTAGAGGTCGTGCAGGTCTTGTAGAATTGTGGCGAGACTGTGCGCAGCTTCCAGAGATTGCGCAGTGTCTGTTCAGGGCAGTTGTGGCCGCGCAGGACATCCTCGATGGTACATGTGTGGTCGAGGGTGTGCTGCACTACTCGGCGGACTATTGAGGCATCGAAGGCGGATGGTAGTG